CCTCCCTCCCTCCCTCCCTCCTTCCCTACCCCTTGGCTCGCAGCAGCAGGTTGCCGATGGCGATGGCCTGCTCCTCCGAGGCTACACTGGGAAGTTTTCCGTCTGCTTTGCTCAGCGAGTCCGTGGTCAGGTATTTGATTAGTTTCGTGCCTGGAAAGGAAGGAATTGGGAGTGGAAGGTCACGGACAGCGCAATTGTACCATTGTTCTTGCTCCTGCATTTTGGACGCCCTTTACAGACTTTTCGATGGCCTCAAGGAGATTCAGCACACGTCCTTGCTTCTTGTCTTTTCTCGTCCCCTCCCCCCTCTTACTACCTTTGAAGTAATCCACACGAGTCTCTTGAAGGACTCCGTTTCGGATTTTCATTGTCCGCCGCACCGTGTCTGCAAGTTTGTGGAGTAATTCCGGATCTTCATACGCTCCCGCTGGCCCGTCATGAGTAGTGGCAGTTGTCGCGGCGCCCGCAGACGCAGGGGGGGTGGACTTCGCGTCATCTGTGGCCGCTGGAGCACTCATTGCGAACACTTTTGTGGGGGCGAAACAATGCAACTTTACAAGTGATAAGGAATTACCATCAGTGTCTGCAGAATACTTCTACGGGTGGGGCATAAAGGCCTGGGTGGCTCCTATTTTTGGCACAAGAAGGTGGACGGCAGACAGACAATCATCATGGTCAGGTACCCTCATTCCGCCAAGGCTGGCATTACGGTCGTCAAATCCACGCCTTTACGCGTTACCAAGCACGACGCACCCCTCCACCACCTTTTCTACATGCCTGTCAACCTATTCGCGCGCGTTACCGCAGGTCGAGTCTTTCATAAGGAAGGGAAATCGTGTCCTAATGTGTGCCTCCCGGGGAGTGCCGGGGCGGGCGAGGAAGACTCGCTTTTCCAGCCATGAGCCCCCGCACCAGGATACAACCCATGCTTCCAGTTGCACTTTTTGCCCGGCCTTGAAGTCGTGCCTCCCCACTGTGTACCTTGCCTGCTTTCCCAACCGTTCCTGCGACGCTGATCTGCACAGATTGGGTCGCAAGGTGGGTTTGTTGGGCATGATCGTGCTTGGAAATGCCCCAACGAGGTTTTCGCCCGCCTCCCAGGAGGGTCCAACCCCGTCGAGATCATCCCTCCCATAGTCAAGCCCCTTGATGCCGGCTCATTTATTCTTCTCTTTACCCTTTCTCCCCTGTTTTCAACACGTCGTAAATTCATCAACAGGAAAAAAATCTGTTGATGGCATGACCTGGGGTACTAAGGTTCCGTTTTGGTCTGCCATTCCTTCATTGACAAGAAATATCGCCTACCACGGATAGGAGCTGCCGCTTCTATTGCGTAGCTTTTTGCATCACCTGTGACTCAAATCCTCATGATAAACACCTGTAAGAGAGTTCGCTGGCTTCTAATAGGATTGATAGGCTATCTGGAATGGAGCTGTTGTCGAAACAGAATAAGAAACCAGACAGCGGCCTTTTCTTTCAAGCCTCACCCGTCCTGGAGCGGAGCCAATCTCCTGGAGGGAAGTCGGGTGACGGCCTTCTTCTTTCATGCCTCACGGCATTATAATTTGAATCAGCAAAAATATTCGTATAGACTGGTAGCAGATGGAGGACCGCTTGCCTTCTCCGCGTTGACCTCGGGGGAGGGCGCCGGGTCGGGGAGTAGCAGTAGCAGCAGCAGGAAGGATAGCAATAGTAGCAATAAGAGGAAAGTGACAGACAGGAAGCGCACCAGCGGTAGCGATGACGAAATCATGGGCACGGGTCGTAGAGATGGAGGCCAGGGCCAGGAGCAGCATGTCCTTCCCT